TTTTTGTTTCACTTGTATTTAAATTTTAAATTTGAATTGTTCCATGAGAAAGCGAAGGAGTCGCTTGCTCATTTTGTTTCATACCACGGTCACTCCCTGCTCGACCGCCACAACGTATAATCGCTAATTTTGGTTCTTCACTACGTTTATAATCGCCATTAAATAAACTAAATCATGTGTGATAATCTATAACAGTCTACAGCCTTCATGTACCTAAGATTACGTATCTGTAATTCAATTACTCGTCCCATTTAGGGGTAAGTGTCTTAATATCGTAAATAATGTCATAAAGTGCAGGAAGTGTTTTATACTATTGTACCTGTTTTTTTTTACATTTACCTTTTTATTGTTACAACCTTTCGTTTGACTTTACTTCTTTTAATAAATTTTGTGACCGGAAGTTTCCTGTTTTACTGCCGTGATCCTGACCACGGTTGTTAGGGTTACAAACCCTTTCAAGGCATTAAATACTATTGACAATGTTTAGTTTCTATCAAAATGTACCTTTAGAATCGCAGCTCGGCTAAGGTAGAAAAATGCACCACTCACAGCAATAGTTGTGTAGTTGATTTGACTATAGAAACGTTGAATCTATGATTTAATAAAATTAAAATTAGTGAAATTTAATGAATGACTATAATAATAATAAAGCACATGCTCATGGCCCCGCACTAGGGAAACCCTGTATGACGGGTGCCATGGACAATCACAAATTACACCCAAACTCGCGAGAGGAATAAATGTAGGCTATACAAATATTTCCCGGCCCGGGAATCAAACCCGGGAAATCTGCGTGGTAGGCCAGCATAGTAACCATTCAGCTACGGAGGTAGTTAAAAAAAGACTGACGACCATGTACTTGAACAAAACAAATACGTCAAATTAATAATTTACATTCCAATATCACCACGTTATTACTACCACTAGTAGTTTTAGTTAGTTTTCTATATAATGCTTAAACATTTTGTACGTAGAAATTGCGACAAAGTTTATCAATATTTAACTTTATCAATATTTATTTATATATAATAGATATGTCATCTCTCACCTCAATGCCATAAATCGAAGGATGAATACTAAAAAGAGCAATAAGCGGTTCCTGTGCCACAGCATTCACATTGGCCGCCATACGAGAAAATGTTAAAGATTTGAACATTAAATACAAGAAGGAAAAGAAGAAATATGCGTGATGATCGAAGCTTTGGAGAACGCTGCAATTTTTAATAATATTTTAGTTCACACCTTAGAAGTCAAAAATTACACTATATATTAAACTTAACGAAAACACGTGGTTGTGTAAGCGTTTGTAATAACGACTACCATAATGATTTATGTAGGTTTTGAATAATAATAAAACTAATATTTGCTAGATATGTGAATAGACCTTAATTGAAGTGTTTCATATCAAGTGTATAAGAAATTAAAATATTACCTTAAACTGTTATACAACTGCACACACATAAAATACAAAGTGCTCAAGCAAGATAAAAGAACAAAGTACTTGAAATGATCGTTAATGAGGTGAACAAGTTGAACCAGAATGGCTTGTTGCAACCTTAGTTTCCTCCAATTAGTTGATAACTGTAAAAATGAAACAGAAACTGCATACTTCTGCCCTTCGCCTAGTGTAGCGTTATTTCAATTTACTTGACTAGGTAATATTTAATATAATATTATTTTTATGATAATTTGTCATGAAAGACATAATAACAGTGAGCCTCATAATATAAAAATAAATACTTGAAATGAAACGAAGAATGTGATTAAATCGTTCAGTAAATACTTACATTATCTTTTTGAGCAAAAATTTGTTTGTTTAGTTCTTCAAAGTGTGCAATCAAGTAAGTACTCATAGATATATTTACAACATCTGTAAATGACCGTAAAAATGTTCCTTGTCTGCCTGTGACCTAGAAACATAATAAGTAGTTGTACTGGCTGTACAATTGTAGGACATCTAGGAGGAGTCGTCTTCTCTCGTCAGAGGTTTTATCAAGACCAACTTTGTCATTTTTTTTGTCCAAAAGAAATTTTGTATTTTACATTTCTGTCGTTCTAGTGAGTTTGTCTATGTTGCCAGTCAGTCCACTGGTCATTCATGGAGGCTGGACGCTGATCATCCATGGAAGTTGGACGCGACACATTAGTATTTCTTAAGGTTAATAAATGATTACAGTTACTACACTTTTGAAATCAGATTTAAACGATCTATCTGTGTCAGTCAGTTAGATTAGTAATATCTGTTACTAAATGTTCAGAAACTTCCATTACCTCCAAATATATTTGAAACATTGTCTGTACAATGTCGTTGTGCGAAATTTTGTAAGGCAATTTTCCCTTTAAATAAGCAATGAGAACTTCGCGAAAGCTGTAGTTTGGATTACATCCTTTGATATATTTCATAACATAATTTGCTGCCAAACAGTATTCGACTGGAAATGTAAAAGTTTGATTTATTGAATATATCAGAAAAAAATAATGGTATTCTTTAAGTTTACTAATATATTTAATTTATTTATTTACATTGCAGTCTATAAATCCATTTGATGTTACAAATCCGGAAAAAACAAATATCTAACGTATGTTGCTAGCTCTCTATTGTCAGCCGTTTTAGACAAACAGTTTGGATATTGTATAACAGACATGCCTACAATACTCTACGCGTACAATATAGTAACATCATCCATGTCACGGATATTTAACGAAGCCAGCAAAAGCAGCAGTAAAAAGGCGAACTCCTTGAGATATAGAAAGCGTTGTAGCACCAACAGAATCCTAAAGATGATTGTTAAGTCCTATTCAAAATATTGATTGGAACTGCTCAATTTATATCAATATCCGGAACCAACTATTTTATAATGGTAATATGGCCCTGTATGGTCCTTTGTCCTTATAAATAAATTTTAATTACTTAAGAACCTATTTCTAACAAAACTTGTTACTATTATTATGATATAGATGATGTCCGAAATATATAATATTTTATTTTTAAATTTTATTACTTACTTATACCAAAAACAGAGACTATGTAAGCCAAGAAAAGTATTTTTTTCGAAGTAAATGCGTTTATTCGTATATCACATGTCGTCTCAAGTGCTGCGGCTTTCTGCACTAATAAAAACCATTTTTTTGCTGTGATAAATAAAAGCAAAACAGACACAACACCATTACAATAGAAGATGGTACCAGCTGAAATAAGGTAACATATAACATTAAAATCTTCAAATTTATTCCGTCATTTAGTACTCAGAATTTCAAACATCAGTCTTTAATTTCTTGCCGCTATTTTCACTGCATGCACTGGAAGTAAATAACAAAACTGCCTTTGAAATTTATTATCGATAGTACTTACATAATGACAATAAAGTTGCTCCAAACTGAAAGATTTTTATTAAAGAAACAATCGTGTTCAAGAGCAGACCCAAAATTGACGCAATGTAACAAATGCCATAAAACGACTTCAAATTGAACCTGTAAGAATAGATCTATTAGAATTTTAAGCAACAAAATAAATTAGTGAATGTTGAGATAGTAAATAATACTTATTAACTTCATTAACGTAGTCTTCAGATTTGCTACATATAATCGCGACACAATATTTTACAAGCCATTTTGTACGAAAAGCTAGATATAATGTTAAAAGTGCAATGTAGCATGATGCCGAAATCATGCAACTATGATTTGTTTATTGTTGCATTTATTTGTTTATTGCACCAATTAATTCCTTTTTATTAATTAAAAAAACTTACTTCAATTTATTCCAAGAACTTCTCTCAAGCCCCTCAACAGGGAACAACCCGACCCATCGACAAAGCCTCATAACGTTTCTCATACAGCTATGAAATTCACTATTGTATTTTGTATTACAATTCATATGCTTAATAAAGTTCTGATTCCTTACAAACGGTAATTGCTTTGTAGTTGTTACTTTGTTTTTTGGTTTTCTCACAAACCTAAACATTATTGTAGTAATTCTATTTCTTCTGGTAAAATATTTTTTTTTGTGCTTTCTTTCTGACGACCTTCGACTCGACGAAAGTCGACTTTATGATTATTTGATTTATTCTCTTAAATTTTTACTTGTCTGTTGTTTGCACAGAATATGTATTTTCATTATTTCACTTTTATAGAATGTTTCCGCTTCAAAATCCCATTCCTTTTCTTTAATCCTTAACTCGACTTTGTTATTTATTTATAACAATTTTATACGTTATCAATAAACTAAATACTATTTGAATCTGTGTATTAATATACCTAGATTGTTTCCATTTCAAAAACAGAATCTTTTACGTAATACCAACTACACTTTTAACTACAATATCAACACTAATATCAACTACAATTTAGGGAGAACTTATATCATCCTGTCCGGACATAAACCGTTTTGTGATTGACGTATTCGGACTGATTACGTCTTTGAGTGTTAATTCGGTTATTTCACCATCAATCTATACACGTTTTTTTGCAGTATTAGATGTGCGTTTGTATGTGTGTGCGCTTTTTTGCAGGACAAACACCGTGTTAACGGTTCTATATGTAATGTATGCGCTACTCTTTATTCGGTTCGGATTTATACTGCAAAAAACAGTACAATGCCGTGTGAACGGGGGGGTTAGTCCACTACACTAGCTGAATACTGATTATGGACTAGGGACTACTATACGTCGTCAAAGTGATACGTGAATCTACTAAATGCAAGTTTCGTCACGATTTCCATGTACTGTCGGGGCACATTATTTGCTCCCGGTTGTATATAGATAATGCTCGCCCCAAATGGGTTTCAGCTTTAACGTGGTGAGGGGGCTCAGTAGCCGTGGTCGATTTCATCCCACTGTAGGTGAATCTAAGAGGAACCCGCGGGCCGGCCGATGGAGCTAGTCTGGTCCGCGCGGGCTCGTCTTGGTCCGGGTCGAGCGGGTTCGCGCTCGCGGGGAAAGAGACGTGTCGGTGTGTCGTTGCCGCTCGTTCTGTTCTCCGCAAACCCGACGGGGCTGCACCGCTTAAAGTGGTGGAGATGCATTGGCGGTGGGACTGCGGAGGAAGAGACATTTCGGTGTATCGTTGGCGCTCGTCCTGTCCTCCGCGGCCGAATTTGGGCGACTCTCTTCAGAGAGTCCACGCGGATGCATGTAAGGTGTTGCGGCGGAGCCTGCCAACAGATCCGCCGCGGGGACTGGGGAGCATCCACTGAACTTCACAGTTGAGGGGATGTTGTCCTGACTCCCATGGCCCTGGGTAGCGGACTCGGGGAAGTTTGTTGTCCAGAATGGAGAAGCCTGAGATGGATGGCTCGTCTGGTATTCGGCGAGCCTTACATTTGGAGTCGGGGGACCGATGTGTCTCCCTACTCGACTCTGCACCCGCAGGGCCGGGGTATCTATATTCAGATTCCTTGGGCCAAAAAAAGAGATCTCGCTCGGTACTAGTACTCGCAACTAGAATCTACATATTATGCAGGTTTCGTCACGTTTTCGCGTACTGGCTAGGCACATAATCTGTTCTTGTTGCAAATCACACTCGGTGGAATTCAAGCCCAGAAAATCTTCCTTATATGGTACTTAATTGTTTTATCAACTAGGCTATCACTGTTCTTTAGTTTAGATTACAATATGTATAACGTTGTTTTTATAATATTTTTAATGACGAGATTTAAATCATAATTATTTAGATATTTACATTGTGAAGCAAAAAGCCGACTTTCACTAAGAACCACTATAACCGCACAAATAAGAAATCAAAGTTTTAACATTTAAATTAGTTTAAAAATGTGAACCAGTATAATCTATACTGGCACAGATTGGTTCATTTCTTTTAGGTGTTGGTTTAAGTGCTTTTTGCTTAAGCCTTTAAATGGAAATACAATGATTCACCAAAATCCCATTTTCACTATTGAACAAGGTAACCAAATAAGAAAATGTGTTCCTTTTCAGTCAATAAGGAGACTTTGTTGGTATATAGCATCAGCTGTCATAGAAAAATAACAATGGTCGATGACATAACATTTACTTGTGACTTATTCGGTGGTCACAAATTATTTGAGAAGCAAATATTTCTTTAAGTGACATTCGAGGTTTTGTGTTGTGTTGATGTGGAAATAAAAAAATATTTACCTGTGTTGTAGGGCAGCCGATTCATTTATTCTATTGTTGACTCAAAATACTCATAGAACAAATACAAAAATGAATTTCATAAATTAAAAATATAGTAGATTGGAACGAATTTTATCACTGACCAAATGCTAGGGTAACTACCCTAAGAATAGATAATAAAGCAAACAAAAATTATGATATTTTAATCTAAATACCTAAATGTTTATATTTGATACTCTATGATTAGAAATATGTCATGTGGTCTACAACAATTTTTACAATAAAATCAGTACTATATAATCAAAATTATATATAAATAAATTCCCATAAAAATCGAATTCTTAGGTTTTCGCAATGCACATAGGAAATGAAACTATTTTTCCGGATTTATACTTTTATTGATTATAACTATTTATCTGACGTTTTGGACCCTTTACAGGTCCCATGGTCACGGTTGACTGTAAGAGACTGTCGAGACCTTTTAAGGTCCTTTTTTAAGGCCCTTTAGGGCCCAAAACGTCGGTTTGTTTGAAAAAATAAATATACGCGATTTAAACCCGGAAAAATAATTTCATTTCCTATAAAAAGGTGATAAAAGTTGCAACATATTTCGCACCTGAAGGTACAGAACAGATACCTAGCCGACATATATTTCAATCACGAAAGAAAAAAGCAATGGAAGGACCTTAGGGCTCTATTATTATCAAAACCGCTGCAGCCAAAACTCATACTATTATAATGGTAAACATTATGAAATTTTGATAATGATTGGTCGTAGTTTCCAATTTCAAAATAAGTAACAAATTCTGGACTATTAATATAATTTAAATTTTATCCAATTTGGCATACCCTTGAAAGTTCAATACCTGTTATTGCAAGTTACGGCGTTGTATTTTTATATTGAAATTTCATGCAATGTGCTGCCATCTAGCGGCAATAGCTGCGAGACGACGAACAAAACCAAAAAACTTGCATATGGTCCTCACAGATGGCGCTACGGCAAAAAAGCGTTTAAACCAAAAACAAAGATCGGTGACGAGTACATACTCAAAGCTCAAATAGGAGAATGGTTAGCCCCGGTCTGGCAAACAGACGCTTTGTACCCAATAATAACAATAAATTTATTTCTGTCAAATTATTATAGGATAAGAAGTGGCAATCGCAGAATGGACTAATTCGACAATCTTAATGTTAATCAATCCAAAATGTCATATATTTTATAAATTTTTGCAATTCTATCTATCGATTTGATCATATTGTGCAATTTTTGATACATGAAATACATTTTACATTTGTCAGACGAAAAAATATATCAATGTCTGTAATTTCAGTAATATATTGCCTTTTGATAGAAAAAAATATCATTATTAGTTTTCAAGATCAAAATTAAATTTGAAAATATTGGTTTTCGGGACATTTGTCAACTATAATAACTAATAAATAGTAGTATGTCGCCTTGCGTACTGGATAAGTTCCATATGTTGCAATCGTATCACAGGTTTGGAAGAAAAACTAAAAACGCATACATAAAACTCTTCAAAAAGTTGTCACCACACATAAGCTAGGTAGATATTTATACTGTTGTGGGTTGCAAAGTCGGTGTCACTCCAGCAAATTGCATGAGCACTAGCTCATATGTTATAATAGTTGCCGTAATCTAAAAATAGATGAACAGTTTGTAACAAATAGATAATTTTGAGTATCTATTCTCTATTATTAAAACAGAATGGAATAGAATAGAAAATAATTTAATTTATTCGACGAAGGCAAAAAACATAATAGAAAAGGTAATACCATAAAAAAAAATCATACACGTAAGGTGCAATTCTGTACAGTTCCTGAATTGGGCGCGCGTGGGAACTACAGCTCAAGCCCACTCATTGTAAGAGGAAGCCTGTGCCAAGACTACAGTGTAGGCTATCGATTAAGATGCAATTTTTTATAAGATTCTTTAAAGTTGGTTAGAAATTTGCAATATTAATTTTCCTCATGATTACTTGCCGGCAATTTCTGTACATGGCTTTTGTGAAATACCAACAACCTCCCAGGACTATATTACTAACGTGATAAACAAGAACTTTTGTCTCGAGCGAACTCGTGATGGCGAGATTGTAGGGTACATACGATTCGAGATTAAAGAAAAAGATGGCTTTATTCAACGATATACTAGCGTACATAAAGTGTATTGTGCAACTAATAACTGTTTTGCCAGGGGCTTCACGTTAATTCCCCAATTATGGATAAATATCATTAGTAAACACTCAATGGTATCTGCCTACCTATCTCAATCCCAATAGATATAGGCTGTCACGTCTGCCCACGGTATTACGGTACTGATACTCCTTGACCAAATTTGATACTAAAACAAAACACTATCACGATTGATAGAGTTTTGTTTATAACATTTAGTTAATGTGAATGTTTTTGTCCATCGATTGATATATTGATTGATAGATTGAAGTCGTTGGCTTCATCTGATTCTTATTCTTCTTAATAAATTTTAGTACATAGACAGATGGGACCTAGGAGAAGCATACAAGCTATTTTTCGACACAAAAATGAATCTAAAACGGGATGAAATTTGTATGGATAACAATAAAACTGTGAAAATTTGTGTAGTACAGAGTAGGCTACTACGAAATTGCGGTAATTAACTAATAAAATATAAATAAACAACCTAACCTTATTTAAAAAATGCTTAAACACTTACAGTTAGAACAAGTCCACGTTTCACATTAAAAAACTTCAATCCAGTCAATGCTACGTCATCACTATGAACTTGATTTAGAAATCTTTGGACCTGAAATCCAAATTATTTACTTATAAAGTACCAAAGGTGTGATACATGACGCTAAAATCAAATGAACGTCATCTACCTCACTGCAATAAGCAGATGAAGGAACATCATATAAATATTCAGCTGAAGTTCGACTTGCAGTATGAACTTTAGATGCAATCAGAGAAACTGCTAGAGATCTCATCAGCAGAAACGAGAAGGAATATATTAAGTATATCGCTTGTATATATCCGTGCACGGGCCTAAAAAAGAAATTCAAATTTCATTAATTCAGTTCTAAGTTACTGTTTATAATCATTGATCCTGATACAAAACATTTTTAGACAATATATTTAAAAAATAGAAGACGTGAGGCGAAAAATTTTGGGCCACAACAAATTTCCATTATTGTTGTGTTTGTTAAACCCACAGACTACATAAATGTTTAAAGTTACAACAAGAATGCTAGTTAACCAAACAAACCTCTTAGGCCTATGAATTACCATTACAGTTGGCTGTTAGCTTTAAAAGAATATGAAAACGGATCACGTACCGATTCATACATTTTTTATATAACTTTTAGGCACAAATTTATTTCCTTGCCCATTTTGAAGCATTTAGAAACGATTTAAGTATAACTATAAGTAAAGAAAGGTACTGAAATGTTGTATAACACGGTATACTATTAATTTTCATCGACTTTAGTGAGACATGCAGCATTTGCTTGATGTCTTCCCTGAAAAAGAAATCTCTGAGATCTTGTTTGCTTGGTTGTGTTATTAGTTTATTACTTTTGGCAAGAAGGTGCTGCCTTCGGGAAAATTCCGTTTCTCGTCACAATACGTACTAAAATTCAAATCTACAATATTTCCATCCTTATCATAAACAACGTAATCGATCTTTTTCAACGAAATTGAGCTTTTAACATGTACGAAATCAGCGAAGTGAGATCTACAACCCGCTCTAATCGGTTTTTTTTATATCTTATTTATAGAAAGGGACTGTGGAATCAAATTATGCAATTCCATCGCACACTCTCCGTGATAACCCTCTACGGTGGTGTTCAAGGCTCTGCACCTTCGCCTCTACTCAAATCTCGAAACTTAGATGCAAATGCGTTGTTTATGACAAGGAGGATAGAATATATAACATTTAAACGTATACAGGTTTCCTATACACCAATTTCCTGTAACACCAATAAACTTAATGCATTTCTTAATTTACAAATTATATTAAATTTTTGTATTGTATTTGGTTCTGTTTGGGTTTTGGGGGTTTCTGAAGACTAAAAATGTATTTATTTCTCAAACATGCTCGGAAATGTTTGCATTACTTTGAAAAAACGAACACGGAAAGTTTGTCATTTATGGACCGCGTGACTTCTTCCCGGCCAAAGCCTACAAAATAAGTATGAAAAGCCACTAAGTACTTTCCGCTGCTCTAAACTTGAACTTATAATGAACTACGTAAACAGGTATAAGAAAAGCTCGTACAGCCAACTGCCTAGTGTTCTTATTGCGAGAATTTAAAAATACCGTACCGCTTATTACAAAGAAGAGAAAAGGTGAAAAGGCAGTACAATAAACCAAAGTGCTTTGGTATTTTGTTCTGCTTTTTCGTCTTTTTTTGAATTATCGTCGCGAAAATGAGTTGTGAGAAGAGCGACAACAAAAATACACTAATGGATTGCAGTCCGCCTAATTTAAAATAAGAGGCAATATTAGCGTAATGTAAAATATTACTTTTAATACCAATTTTTTTTACTATTCTGTTACACATCTTCTACTCTTAAATTGTTTATTATTACGTCACATTATTTGGGAAAAGCACTATACATGCCTTGACGGAAACGACCTCTACCATAACATACAATTTTTTGTGCTTTTAAAAATGAAGATATTATAATTGCATACTTACTTAATAGCACGCAAAAGTTGCATACAGATAATGAATACGTTTATAGCGAAAGACACAAAGATAACACCGTTGATGACTTCGTCGATTTTCCGTATTAAACCGACGATCTTAGTGTAATCCTCACGCGCTGTTCGATAAAATAACGCAGGTGCGAACTGAAATATAAGTTTTCCAAACATAATAATTTACAATAAGCCTGTAACTTAAAAATTGTTGTGGATAAAATTAAATTATTTTCTCATCTAAATGAATGTTTTCATTTTTGATTTTAAGTTTTTGATATAAACTTCTTAGGTATCTAATAGAATAAATAAATAAGAAATTAGAAGTTCTTTTGTTGTTTAGGAAACTGCTATAAGATTGTCTACATAATTAAATAGTATTAAACGAGCAGTTAGACACTAGACCGCAAACAAAATAGAAGACATTTTCTTCATTATTACCTTTCCCCGTACAGCAACGATTCTGTCATTAATTTGTTGAAGCCTTGATGTCAGATACAAACTGATGCAAATGACAAAAGCATCGGCAAAGTTCCAGTTGAAGGTGCATTGAATGGTTGTAATCTGAATAAAGATAAGGAATACTTAAAGAAGATCGGATGAAGTATTGAATCAAAGCAAGCAAATAATATTGAAAAGTCCCATATAATATCAACAAATGTATCCAAATCATTTATTTGTTTTATTAGGTATGTTGTTAATTTCAAAAGTAGTTATTTTGATGTTCATAACACACTCTTGCACATGTCTATTATCTTGACATAAAATCATTTGTGTTAAGTTCATTGGATGATGTACGTATTTGTTTATTTATTTATTCAAACACTTTATTGTACTACAAAGTAAATGAACTTAGTAAAAACCGCGTACATCTACTTAATTTTCATTTCTCAGATGTGACACTCTTTAACCCTTTCATGGATTTTAAATACTATCGCACCCAAATAGTTTATGTTTATCATCGACGACATAACAGTTCTCGATGATGTTTATTGTTAAAATATTTATTTAAAATATTCATTTGTGTAAAAAGAAATTTTTACACGAAAACGGTGAAGACATTGTTTAGCCTTACATTTAAGCTTCGCTTCAAATATTTCAAGCAAAATTTTCACAATAAATAAACCAAAAAGGACGAGAACACGACGACACAGCGGACGTCTTTTGAGTGAAATGATGATGATAATGATAAAATAAATCAGAAAATTTATTTAAAAAATTCCAAACCTTAATTATAAGCCCAATTATAGGGTTGTAATGAATGAATGTCCAGACAAAATGGTAGGCTTGTAACATGTAAGTATCGTAGATGGGTGCATTTGGCTGATAATACATTGCAATATTAAGCCCCGATATATCGGCTAGGATGTGTTCAACTGTAAATTCGGCACAGGAAAAAAATATTAATACAAAAAACAACGCCTTCAGCACACCGTGCCTGCATCTGTAAGTATATCATGAATTGGTAATCGAATATTATGGTAGTAAAAGATCGTGACAACAATTTTAATATTACAGGGGAATTTACTTTTTTTGTATAAAATAGTGCTAATGGACTAATCTAAACCTACAGAAACTATGTCTCATCCAGCATATGAGTAACAATCGTACCAATCGAATTTTGTTACAAAGAAAGATTTTTGTTTATTTAGTTTAGGGTTATTTCTCCGGACCATTTTTGATTATCTGAAGATACATAGCATTTGTATCATAAAAATAAATAAATACTGGTTTGTATGGGAAGCAAATACAATTCTGCGTATTTCTTTAAGTTTTACATCAAATTCGATTGTATTTTTTAATGTATGTATGTTACGCGATTAATAATAATAATAACGCACACACTCTTTATTCAGTTTATTTAATTTCACCCACTTTTCGTGAAACGTTTTCAATGAAACTTTGACACATGGATAACAAAATGGAGACCTCTAGATTTCCATAATCAGCTGTAGCTGACCTGATTATGGAAGTAGCAGACAGATAAGAGAAACTCCTCACGTAACATAAACGTTGTTATTATTATAGGATACGTTAAGACATTTCGGTTTCAATGACCACTGACGAGAAGGAGAATAGTTAAAAACCGGGTCAAGTTTGCCTTGCTCGTTTCAAATCGCGTCATCAAAATGTATACGTACCAGCTGCCAAACCAAGAACAAGAATACAAGCTACTTTACAGTTTCTTGACAGATTTTTGTCTCTAACAGGGTCCTCAGCTTCTGTCTTTGCTATATATTTGCAAAGTGTGGGCCATTTTGTTGCAATTCGGAAAAACAACAGTCCTATTACAGTCGTCATGAAGTAAAATACGATTGCGGCTGAAATATGTAACACTTGTCAATAGAATTATATTTCTTTTATATACAATGTAAGTGTGCATTTGACCTCCATCTCACCTGATGGAAAGCGACAGTGAGGTCAACGAAGGAGCATGCACACCAAAATAATGCCTATTTACTCTCGTCTTGAAAAGGCCCAAGTTATAACGTTCAGGGAACAAGTCTGCAGGTAGGGAATTCCACTTCTTAGCCGTTCGTAAGTGCAAGAATGTTTAATAATAATAGTTCTGTAAGGTGAGTCATCAGAGTCATCGATAGGAAGACTCTACTGTGGAACATATTGTGATTCAACAATAGAATATCACTAAATAATCGATGCATTTAATGACTATTTACCAAAGTACGATACAACCCAGCAAACTACAATGGGTAAAGCGCTAAAAAAGCTTCAGGTCCAAACAAATATGGCCTCAATTTTGCATGAAAAATGTATATTTCTAGATCATCTATAGTCATATAGAAAAAACAAGTTATTTGTAAAATACTAAAAACTTCCCTGGACTATATTACTAAATCATTAACAAGTTTTGTTGCATGACTTTTGATAATTCATCAGATTTTACTTTCGTACAAAAATAATAATATTTAAATAGATCGCTCCAAACCGTGGTAACTATGTGCGATAACAAAAGAAAGCGATGCAAAACGCAGGAGCGGGGGTGGGAGTGGTTTGGGAGGATGCTTGCACGTTTGCACTTACTATACATACTAACACAGATCTAAAAGTGCCAGGTAGTAAGTACGAACGGCAGCATAATCAAGGTAAACAAGCATTGACGGATCTTGTTCCGTTGCCCCTGGAAGAAACAAAAGTGTTTATATAGCTTGATGTGTTTTGGTAAATTTATTGTTGTTTTTTTTCAAATAGTCAAGGAACAAAAGTTATTGTTTATGATGTTAGTAGTTGTAATATAGTCCTGCAAGGCTTATTTTATACGTCGACGCGCGTTTACAGCGACATATTCATTCAAACGCGCGTAAAATAAGCGCGCGCATTTGCATTTGCATTTGCATTTTCAATTTGTGAACTTGTACAAAGGTTTACACGCTGCGACTGCACCGCCTTTGAATCGCATTTTTCTTCCTAATTTTTAACAAGGCCTTTAACACTGTACTCATAGGAATCTTAAATTGCGTGGTCTATTAGGGGCATTTTTAGATTTGATGCAATAGGTTACGTAAGTACAAATCTTTTTGGCTATTTTCTGTAAGGTGTTTTCCAGGACAATATTTATGTCTCCATTACGTCCAATCTCCTCAACTCCAAATCGTACTCTTGCGGCCCTAGTGTGGTCATACTCCACTAACAAATAGATGTATCATGTCTTCTATTCTTTTGCAGTAATCACAGAGGGGTGAGGTACCTATTAAGTGATAAAATTTATTTAGTGGAATGTGACCAGATCTGATTCTAAATGCTGAAACAAGAGATTCCCTAGAGAAAACCACTCCATGAAACCACGGCTTTCGAGGAGATCACGGTTGTATCGTCCTATACCAAATGCCTCTTGCTAGTGAGTTTCCTCGTAGTCTTTATCCCAAATATTTAGACAAATATCTCTGGCTAGAGGATAGGCTCTTACGTTGTTAGTATTTTGCCTATAACCATGTAAAGCGCTTAGTTTAAATACGATATTTTTCCGTCACTTAGTATTATACGAGTATATTGTTTATAATATCAAGCGACGGGACGAACAAGTCGTGCACCTGATGATATGCTACACGCTTATCAATAACAGTTGCAGTGCCACTCAGAGCTTTAAATCGCAAAGATCTGAGGAGCACTGCCACTGCGCCCGTCACCCTCAAACCCTTACTGTTCTAAACCGGAACGCAGTAATGCTAACATTACTGCTTGACGGCAGAAATAGGTTAGGTGGCAGTACTTCCCTGGACGAACTCTTTGACAAAGATCTCTACTGCTGCTGAACTACTACCACCGGGCGTTTACGTGTCATAGGAATAATTGTCTGGATCTGAACCACTTCACATATTTATGAACATTTTGATTACACGAAGCCTTAGAAAGTTATATCAAATAGTAAAATATTACAAAAAACTTACGGTTTTCGAAATATGTAGAACCACTATTAAACATTTTCATAATATTAAAAAAAATTACAACGGCTTGTCCCAAGATCGTTAACGTGCTGTACCAATATCTTCCTGACCAAAATGTAAATCTGTAAATATAAAAAAAAATAACTTAAATAAAAACACAAGTACATACATATAACATTATTTGTAAAACACAAAGTCGCTGGAATATTCGGTGTTTTTTTTTTTTAATGGGAGGAATATGAGGAAATCCAAAACCATAGAAGATGCAAGGAAACTGTCTTAGAAACCATTACGTCTTTTTTATGAAAACAATTTTGGCATAGTCAATTTTTTAATCAAGCGTCACTTGTCTGTTGAATAAAATTGATGAAAATTTTTTTTAGTTCTGATCAATTCAGTTTCATGAATGGATCATTTCATTATGTGGGACAAATCTAGGACAGCAGAAGTTGGTCTACTTTCATAAAATATTTTTTCTTACAAAATGAATAAAATTGATTTTTTTTTAATTCTAATAGACTCAGTTTCTTATAAAGATGAACCCAAAGGCGTGAGTATATGTATGTATGTTCATTGTATGGAACCAAAAAATCGGAGGCCACAATCTGACTTTGATGTCGCTTTTATGAAAATGTATAATTGATTTTGTATTGATGTGATGAAATAACTCCACTAGTTTACTAAAAAAATAAGAAAAACTGAAAAGTTTATTTCTGGTACACACGCCAGCACATCAAGCTACGCATTGACGTATCTTGTTCCGTTGCACTGGAGGCGATTTTCGAACAAAAACGTGTTGTCTTATGTGCCGTTGCCTGTACATTTCTCATGTTAGTAATATATTCCTGGCAAGTTTTTTTTGTTTGTATTACGCGATTACTCCGGCATTTGTGAATCCATTTTGATGATTCTTTTTTTGTTGAAAAGAGGGTACCTCAAAAGTGGGTCTATTTAAATTTGAACAAAATATTCCACCTGGGTGGCAAACTAGGGGATGAATGACTTCTGAGGTCGGTTTTTTGAGTACTCTCTGCTGAGATTTTACAATATTTTTTTTTTATTGTGACTCGGCAAAATGACTGCACCGCGCCTGATGGAAAGTGCGAATACAGTCCAGAGATGAGAGTAACGGATGGAAAACACAAATATCTTCACTCCGTT